GCATGTGAGAGGTGACTGATTGATGGTTTTCTCTCTCCCTCCCTTCCCCTTTTTAAGAAACCAACAAGCATGTCTTTGGGTGGGGATTAAAGAAAAGAAAAGGAAAATCATAAGGAAGAAAAAAATACTTTTACAGTATTTATTGAAAAAACCCAGCGTATAAGTGGACCCACACAGTTCAAACCCGGGTTCTTCCAAGGTCAACTGTGTTTCTAAACATTTTACATTTCAGTAATTTTGCTTCCTTTTGCGGGGCTGTCTCTGTCACCGATGTCTAGTTCCTGGACAATGCATGGAAGCGGTGGAGATCTTTTTCTCCCACGGAGGGAGCAGGTTGAGAAGGCAGGTGCCTGTTCTGGTGGAGGTTCCGAGGTTGAGGAGGGAGCGCAGCCTGCGGTGGAACCCCTCTCACAGGACATCGGAGCCCCAGGCTGGCCCTGAGCGACTGGGAGGGCGTGGGGCGCACGGGGAATGGTTCTGACGGAAGGAGGTGGGCGCACAGAGCTGTGCATGTCCCAGCACGCAGCCTATGAGGCCACCGAGGACGGAGGGCCCAGGTACCTGAGTGAGCCCTGCTGTGGTCCCCAGGGAGCCCCAGACAAAGAAAACCAGGCGGAGAGAAAACACATTCGAGGCAGGATAAAGGAGGAGGGTCTCCCACTCCTTGAAACAGGACAAAGAATTTGGCACACGGACAGGTCTGCAGGGTGAGAGGCTTTTGGGGGACACAGGCTGATGATCCACTCTCTTTCATCCGGGAAGCTCAGAATATTCTTTGCTGCATGTCTGCGCCCGTAATTCCTTCCCCAGATGCTGGCTTCTCGGTGGCAAGCGCCTCCCCCTGTAGCCACCGGGCACGCCTGCCAGATGTTTCTCGAACTCTGCAATGTCATTAGCGCGCTCAAGCCTGCATTCTGAAGGACGCAGTTCCCTGCCTGAAACGGTGCCTCTGAGCTCAAGGAAACTCTTGACATGAGGCAGCGAAAGAACTTCTCAGTTGGAGAGGAGCAGGTTCAAAGAGCTGATGTGTTTCAAGCCTCTGTGTCCTGTGGCACGCCCGAAAAGGGCAGCCCTGTGGCTCCACAGAGGCCACTGCTTCCCGGTCGTCTCTGGTCCCCCTGCATCAGCCGCCAGAGCGGGAAGTCTTTCCTGACTTCTAATTTCATCTCCTGTCTCTGTTAAGGCCAGATGACAAGTGGAGAAAGCAGTGAGTCAGCTGCCCCCAGGACAGCTCGCAGGTGCTTGAAAAGTGAGGCCTCCTCCCTCCGAGCATCTGTCAGCCTTTTCCGCTCTTTCTGGCTTTTCTTCCCCAGCCACTTCATTATACGTTCCTCTTCTCCGACTGCCTTCCGTTTCCTCGAGTTTGTTCTCTGCAAACTGCGGACTTTGAATAACGGTCCTGGCAGAGGAAGCAGGAGAAAGGTTTTGTGAGGTGTGGCCATTTCTCGGCTCCTCGCAGGAGCGGACCAGGATGAACCCGCGGGATGGCCGAGACGTCAGCACAGGCCGAGAATCCTTGGCTGGTCGCTGGATTGGAGCAAAAATAGCACAAACTAAGACCTGGTCGTTTCAGAGTGGGGCACACGCTGCTCCCCTTAGTCGCCAGGATCGGGCCGGGGTCCTCCCGGTGGAGGCGCACCATCCTCTGGGCTTTGAGAAGGATTTCTGCCCTCAGAGCCCGTGCCGGTGTGGCTAGGTCGGAGGGGCGGGGAAGTCCGGGCAGACACGGGGAAGGAGCGGATCTTTGCGGCCAACAAACTAGGGTTCCGTTCTGGATGCATCGGTGGGTTCGTCCGCTTGGGCTGCCCTGACTGCGTGTCACGGCCTGGGCGGCTTAAACAGCAGAGTTTCTGCTCACAGCCCTGGAGGCTGGAAGCCTGAGGCCAGGGCGCCGCCTGGGTCCTGTTCCGGGCGGGTGTCTTCCTGGCTCACAGACGGTCACCTCCTCGCCATGTCCTCCCTTGGCCCGTCCACAGGGTGTGCGTTGCCAGAGACAGAGATCACCTCCTCTTTCTCTTCCCGTAAGGCCGCCCACCCCTTCGTGATGGCCCCGCCTCCCATCCCAGTTTACCGCCCGTCTCCCAATGTGGTCACATGGGCTGGGGGCGGGGTCAGGGCTCCAACAGGTGGGTTTGGGAAGGACGCAGACATTCGTCCTTTCCACAGACATGAGTTTTCATCAAAGTGTAGCAACGGCCACAAGCTTGGCAGCCTAACACAACACCCGTCTATTATTTTGCAGTTTTCTCGGGTCGTGGACATGGCACATTGGGCTCGACTGGCCAGAGTCTCACAAGGTTGCGTTCAAGACATTGGCGGGCCAGCGCCAATTGAAGGTGTCACTAGGGAGCCCGTCGTATTCACACTGAAGGGGGGGCTTTGTACAAGGCCGTGGGTCGTCAGGGGTCACCTGAGAACCTGCAGACCACACTGAGTTTGATGGGCTTCTGTGTCATTGTGTAGGGGATTGGGTGCAATCCCAATGACAGTTATCGATGATAGTTAAACGTGTCACTTGTCTTCAACGGGCAAACCATCCGCGTTGCTTGGAAGCAACATGATTTCAGGGGGTTGGTCCCTTGAATAATGACTTTGTCGTGAAGGTGGGGAAAGTCAAGGATTCGTACCCGCAGCCTAAAATCGGTGACATTAACGTCCTTCGCATTTAGAAAATGCCGGCTCTTTAGAGGTTTGTGGGTTTCTAATGACATCCCTGTTACAAGCGCCTGGGCCACTGTGGAGTTTTGATGGTTTCGTAAACTTCAGTTTAGGAGAGATCACGGAGTTCCGAGCGAGCTCACGGAAGGTGGCTTCAGGGGTCTGGTGGCGGCTTAGGGACGTGGTGGGGCCCCGGGCACTCTCGCACTCTCAGGCCCTTCATGAGCGAGGGGTCTGGAAGAGAAGGTCACGTTTCATGCGCTAGACATGGAGAAGCAGACGGCAGCGCATGGACATTTCCTGGGAGGTCTTCCTTCCCACCCTCCGCCCTGGCTCAGTCTGAGCGAGGCTGATGTTGGTGTGCAGGGAGCATAAAGGGGGCACTCCATGGGGGACTTTTCCTGGGGACATGGTGGCGTCAGAGCCAGGGCCATTAGTCTGAGGGGAGAGAAAGGGGGAGGGCTGGGGTACCAGGACGGGATGCTGAGATATTCAGGAAGGGGTATGCCGAGCACAGACAGCCTCCAAGAGTTCGATGCCTTCTGAGGGACAAAGGCAGTGGTTTTCATGCAGGTCTTCTCCATGGTCAAGGTCACCCCAGCTGCCCCGAGTGGCCTGGATGCACTGGAGTATTGTTTAGGGAGGTGCTGGTGGGAAGTCGGGGGCCGAATTCTTGCAGGCCCGGTGGTCAGTCCCGGGAGCTGAGATTCAGCTGCTGGCGTGTCCAGGACAGCTTCCACGGCGGGACAGAGGTGAGGGAGCAGGTGAGGGCCTTGGCTCGGCCGAGGGGACGGAGAGGAACAGGCACGTGGAGAGATGCTGAGAAGGCCTGAGCCAGTTTCATCCACAACCGGCCCACTGGCCTGGATGGGGAGCTTGGAGCAGGACGGTGTCATGGGCAGAAATTTGGAGTTCATCAAGAGAAGGGTGGGGGGTCGGGAGGTGAGTTCCTGAACTTGGAAGTGGCCAACATGAGAGACAGCAAGAGGCCGAGCATCGTCTCCAGGGCAGAAATGATAATTGAATCTCTTTTGAAGGTCAAGTGTGAGGTACAGAAGGGAAGAGAGGTTTTCAGGGCATCGTAGAAGAAGTGCAAGTGAGACTTAACTCAGAGAGACACGAACTGACTTCCCTGGGTTGCGGGGGGGGGGGGTTGGAGCTGAAATATACGAGGGGGGTGGCACCATGGCAAGAGATTGGGGAGGTGGGCAAGATGGTCGTAAGTGCCTTGAGTCAGCGACGACTGCGTTTGGGCGTCGGTGTGCGGTGGAGGAAGGATGCATGTGTGCATGCTTGGAGGGGAAGGAGCCCTGCTGAGCTCTCTTTGGTTCTTCCGTTTGTGTTTTGTTTCATTTTTGTGTGAGTTTGGTTCGAAAGCTCTTGGTGTGAAGGTGTAAGAGATTGTCCAGAGCTTCCGGGGAGCCTCCGAGACCAGCGCTGTGCTGGGTGGGGTAGGGGCGACAGGTCCACGCGGACATGTTTGGGGATGAGTGGCGTCTGTCACCAAGGATCCTCGTGGGCCAGTTCAGTAGCACGCTCTCCCTTCAGGTCTGGGGTGAGTCCATCGGGCCTCCCAGGGAAACATGCCCAAGCCCCTCGAGTTTGGTCCCCAACTGACTAGCCTGCACCCACCATGGAAAGCTGGGTGATTTATGTTTAAGGAGACCCTGAATGAAAAGACCAGGACGATCCTTACGATCAGGTCTCCTAGAGTATTGCCCTGCGGCTGGTGGGGGGGGGGGGCGGGGAGCCACAGCCTCCTCCTCCTCCTCTGCACCGTGCCTGGTGGGATGTCGGGTGAGGGCAAGGGGACCATCCCCAGGGTTTCAGTGACCAGGAGGAGGGTGCTTCTGTAGGTGGAAGGAAGAGCTGGCGAGAGGGAGGCCGGGTTGGGGAGGGTGAGAGCAGGTGTGCTATTTGGCCTGCGAGCTGGAGAATGACTGCAGGAGGCATTAGTGGGCTGGCTAAGGGGTCCTCCTGTGTCCCCATCCCTGTAGAGAAGGCAGGTGGCCCAGTGACCCGAGCGTGGGAATATCTCTGCTGTCTGTGATTTTGAGATTGTGCAGCCAGATAACTTCCAGGGCCAGAGTGGCGTAAGGGCCTGGTGGATGCCTTTTTCCTGGAGCACAGGGGCGTGTGGGCCCGAGCACTCGCCTCGCAGGAACCTTGGGGGCTGCAGGCTGGGTGCATCAGGTAGCCTGTACTCCTCCTCATCACCTGCTCAGGTGTGGGTACCTCGGCCTGGCAGCGATCCTTCTCCAGGCTGGAACACGAGATCCTGTTTTGATTGGTTGCCAGAGGCTTCTTGGCATCTCACCTTCCCGTACCATTTGTCATTCCAGGTGCTGCTGTCAGGACTCATTGGCGTCGTCTCCTGGAAGAGACCCCTCTCCCTTGTGGTAAGTCGCACCCCGTGTCCACGGCGGCCTGGGATGGGGCTCTGGCTGCAGAGGGAAGTGCGTTGAACGTGAAGGCAGAGCACTCTGGCTTCTCCGCACGACGGGGAACTCGGGCCTCTCTGGAAGTGTCGTCGGGAATGAGCCCCGAGCCTGTTCTACTTCCCAGAGGGGCTCTCGGGGGTTTGCCTAAGGCCTTGTGTGCCTCCTTCTTTCCCTTTGTCCCGTCTGGGGGCCCTTGGACAAGGACACCCCGCGAACACAGGCCTTTTAATATGTGCACATGGAAGCGATTCATCTAGACGCGTGAACACATTCGTACACCTACGTACGCTTGTGGGTGATCACACACAGGACGTGTCTGAACAGAGGTCAAGAGATGTCAGCTTTGTGTGTGTTTTGGAGACTGTGCCGCTCAGTGCCGGTGGCGTTTACTGGGGTGAAGAAAGCAGTGCCCTTGCTGAGGATGGGTTCTCCTCCTGCTCAGGCCTCACGCTGGGGAGGCCTGGGCAGAGGATGTGGCTTCTCCCTCCCAGCAGCACCCCGGGCGGACGCGTGTCTGTAGATTCACCGGCGTGTTCTCCTCGGTGTCTACATTAATGTATTTATGTGTCCGCGTCGGTACTAAAGGGAGAGGTTTTCCCATTCCCTGATGGATGGTGAAAGAGACGGCGTGGCTTTTTCCTCCTTTTGTAGTGATCAATTATTTAAAATCTCTTCTTGAAGTGATTAGACCTGGAGATAAGGACACGGACCAGAGAGTAATGGAAATAGAAAACAGCTCAGATACGCGGGTTGTAAATCCCTCCTGCTTTATGCGAGCCACCGTGATGGCTTCCAGGTACCGAGAAGAGAGTTTGGGCATAAATTCTGTGGAGACTCTTCTCCCACACTGTGTCAGCTCAGATGAGCAGTTTCCCTCTTAAAAAATGTTTTTAAGTAGAATTTTTCACCCTGGCCAGTGTGGCTCACTTTAGTTGGGCATCATCCTGCAAACCGGAAGGTCACAGGTTCGATTCCCGGTCAGGGCACATACCTGGGTTACGGATTCGATCTCCATTCTGGGTGTGGACACCTGTGACACCAGGTCCAGACTTATACGATCCCCAGTCCGGGCACTGATCCCTGGTCCAGGCGCATGTGGGAGGTAAGCAATCCTTGCTTCCCTTTTGCATCAGTGCTTCTCTCTCTCTCCTCCCCTCTCTCTAAAAGCAATGAAAAATAAAAAATCCTCAAGTGAGGACGAGAAAGGAGGCAGCAGTCTGTGCAATGAGGACAGGGAAGGACGCTGCCCTCTCCAGCCTGGCGAGTGAGCGGAGAGACGGAGGAGGAGGAGGGAGATGCTGTGACTTCTCTCCCACGGTGTTCCGTCGGAGCCTGGCTGCGTGCTGGGATGAGTGGTAGCCGGGCCAGTGAGGGACGTGTGTTTTCACACTCCCATGGCCGTTTCCCCCACATGCTCGGTGTCTCCTGGGATTGAGACCACTGTCTTCCTCACGTTGCACTATAAAAGGCTCTGATGATGCCACATGCCTGCTAGGCACCAGGTTACGTAGCTCCGATTAGATAACTTCTTGAAAGACCCAGCGAAACATCCTGTGGTTGCTTGTATTTTAATCATGGAAATCGGGCTGTCCGACCTTTTGGGGTCTCCGGGCCACCCTGGAAGAGGAAGAGTTGTTGGGTCACACATTAAATACACAAACACTAGCGAAAACAAGCAAAAAAAATCTCATCATGTTTTCAGTAAATTTATGATTTCGTGTTGGGCAGCATTCACAGCCCTCCTGGGCCGCACGTGGGCCGAGGGGGCTGGACACCCCTGCAAGCGGTTCCGGTGCCTGCCCTGTGGTGAGATGCCACGGCCGTCTGGCATCTCAGCTTCACTCGGTGTCAGTCTGCCGTCCGGGCTGTGTGTCGGCCAAGTCCTCACCCGTACACACCGGGAGCTTTGTGCCCAGGTCCCCCCTGGCTCACACAGGGAGTGCCACGACCTCTGCTTGGTGGGCCCATTGCCATCGGTCTGGTGCCACGCAGGGCTCTCCCACCACGACCAGTGAGTCCAGCTCTGCCGACATTTCCAGGCCACCTAGAGAGTGGGGGCCCTGGGCTGTGGGCCCCCTCTGTTCAGGTTTCTGTGGTGACAGACGGCGGCATCACTCCGGAAGGCCTCCCAGCTGTTCTCTGATCGCCCCCCTTTCATGGCGCTGGGTTCCAGGCCCTCGAAGCACCGGTGTTACAGGCGCAGTCTCCCACAAGGGCATGGATGGGAACCTTTTCCACGTCAGGTGTCCTCTCTGAGCTGTGTTCGAGCCCTCCCACCCCCAGGTCAGCTGGTCTTTTGGCTCGCCCACGTCCTTACTGGCGATACTTGTTGTGCTCTGAGGTTAGCCCACCCGTGATTACTCTGCTCACATTTATTGAAGAGGAAGAGGTGCCATGTGGGTGATGTGGGCAGTTTGTGTGGTTGGTGGTCCCCCCCCTCCCCCCGGGAGGGGATGTGTGTTGCAGTTCCTACTTCCCTGCCCCGCACCGCACCCAGAGTGGTTCTGCCCGCGATGTGAAGGCCGCCTTTGGGATCTGTGGGACTGGGGGGTCCCTGTTGACTGGAGGGACCTCCTTAGGTTTCCTAGGTGGACCCGGAAGGCGCCCTTGAGTTCTAGAGAGAGGAAGGGAGGGAGGGAGAGGGAGAAAGAGAGAGGGAGAGAAAGGGAGAAAAACATCAGTGTGTGGTTGCCTCTCGAGCACCCACTACTGGGGACCTGGCCTGCCACCCAGGCATGCACCCTGACTGGGAATTGAACCAGCGACCCTTTGGCTCGTAGGTCAGCACTCAATCCACTGAGCCATGCCAGCCAGGCTCTTCTGGTGTTTCTGCACCCTGCCTGCCTGCCAGAACCACCACAGTCATTACAACACGTACGACCCCAGAGCTATCACGTCAGTTCTGTTTACCATATTTTACCCGATACAATGCACACCCACATTTTGGGCCCAAACTTCCAGGAAAAAAAAATCTTTCGTTTTAATTTTTAATTCACTTATTTATTTATTTAGATACTTGCTTTTTGCATTATAAAGGAATTTTAGTATTTATTTTTCAACATATTGTGGTATAGGAAATAATTACAAAACATAAGAACAGATACCAGGTATTTCAGTACTATCCGTGCATAACGTGCACCCTTATTTTTCCCTCAACACTTTGGGCAGACAAGTGCGCACTGTACCCGGCAGAACGCTGCCATGCAGGCAGGCATGAATGTACGACACACTGTGTGCCCGGCCCTTTTGAAATAGTCTCAACACTTAACTGGTTCCCCCCCAAGAGGCAGTGGCGGGATTTCTTAAAGGGATAGCACACTCTTGGAGGGAGGGAGAGAGCGGACAGGCTTGAGGAGCACCTGCTAACACTTAGTTGTCACGACACCCTGGTGGCGTCCCTCTGTTGTCCTCGCACCCAAAGGAGGGACCAAGGCAGAGGACACGTGTGGGGGGTAAAGGGTGAGCGGGTCACCGGCCCAGGCCAACTGGCTTCCTGGGCCCCTGCATTAATCATTGCACTAGTCTTCCTTACTGAGGACTTCACATTTAACAGGGAAAAAAAAAACAAAAACAAACCCCCCCCCAAACAAACAGACAAAAACCGTCTTTCTGTGGCTTACTGAGGCAGACATCCAGCTTCCTTGGAGGTCCAGGCTACAAAAAACACTTCCACGTCCAATCCATTTATTTCCTGCTTTCCTTGTTCATAAGAAGCAGGCAAAGAGGGGAAGAGTTTTTGTTTTTCTACTTCCTTCTCTCAAAACAAGGGGGCTTGCAGAGTTTTGAATTAGTTCCAGCAGACATCTGGGACCTGGGAGGGGCAGGGGCCGTCCTGAGGGACCCAGGGGGGCGGCCCCAGGATCCCCATGCTGGGTGCCCCTGAGGACGTGCCCCGCCCCCTGCAGCTCAGGTCACTGGGGCTGTCCCAGCAGCGGTGGGGACAAGTGTCTGACACTTAGTCCTCGGTTTGGAGAAACCAGGCCCGATTCTTACCATAGTGTCAGCCTGATTGGAAACCTAAAGACAACCGATGGGGGGCGGGGAAAAAACCAGCTTTGATTGCTTTTCCATTCCGCTTGAATTCTGTTATTTCTGTTTTGTTTTCCTCCACAGCAGTGTTTGATGACCTATGCAGATGCCGAGGGGTTGGATCGTGTGACAAATGGACTAGGGCCTGGGCTGGGACGGGTTTCCTTCCCCCCCTTCATTGATATGCTGATCGGTTTCCAATGGAAGGAAGCTAAAAATCTTCTGCAGCATACATTAACTTCTTTTTTAAAGTGTCTCTGAATTTTTGCGCTCACATATATTTCCTGCCGTGGCATCGGAAATCCGGTCCTGGTCTCACTGCACATTCATCTAGTCGGCCATATTTTGTGGGGGGGGGGGGGACTCTGAATCACTTTAACCTTTAATACAAGTCGCAGAGAGCCCGCAGGGCTTCCTTTCAAGCCCATGAATGGAGCGCAAGTAGAACTTCAATACGCTACTGAAAAATAGAGATGAGTGAAAGGTTAATATATTTCATGTAAATGTATTCAACATCATTATTTATTCAGAAAATTCGTTATAAATCTACTCTGGGGGTTTCTTATAGCCACGAATGTGGCCTCTCTTCAAGAGAGTGTGTTTTGCTTGAGCGCATGGAAGACGAAGGCTCCATTCATTAAGTGCTGACGAGGACAAGAAAGGAGAGTGCGCATGCAGAGCCCCAGGCCTGTGTGGCTCAGTGGGTTGGGGCTTCATTCTGGAAACAGAACTGTCGTGGGTTCAATTCCTGGTCAGGGCACGTGCCCCGGTTGCAGGTTTGGTCCCCGGTCAAGGCATGTATGGGAGGCAAATTATTGACGCTTCTCTCTCTCTCTCTCTCTCCCTTCCTTTCTCCCTGGAATCAATAAATATATATTAAAAGTTAAGAAAACAAACAAGCCAGAGTTTTTCTTTGCAAAGAAAGCAGC